AGTAGCAGTGCTCTGAAGGATGGCACGGGAAGTAGTTAGATTTGGTGAGAAGAGGGATTCCATGTATCCTTTTCTTTTTATCTCCTATGGACTACTTCATATCGGTCTCTCCCATAAAGCCACAATGAAACACATAGACAAAATTTGAAAAAAAGTTTAGTGGGTTTCGCAATGCACTGTATAGACGATCACTCTGCTCAAGCAGGTTTATAACCCAAAATTATTAACCGGTCTAAATATTCAATTTTAATTCTCCAATATTTTTCCTGCACTCCCTAATGGTTCATCTGAGGATTTTAACACTTTTCATAAAAATCAGGACGCTTTGTCACATTGTCAGCCTGACAAGCTAAAACACATTTATTTAGTCCTGAGGATACGCTAACATCAGTCCAAAAATAAAGTTTACCTCCAAGCAAGGAAAAAAACAGCTTGGAACAGAGTGCCCCTTGTGGTGTTGACACTGTTCAAATTAAATTCACTTAAGTGACCCCATGAATAGAGCAATCCCTTCTGGTCTGACTGACAAGAACATGGTGTAATTAATGTGCTGGTCGTTGAGATCAGACAATCCATCAGCAAGTGGGCGTGCAGCTGGAAAACAGAGAACCAGGGAGAATCGAGAAGCCATCAAAAACTCATCTGCTCCTGTATGTGTTCCCACTGGAGGAAATGATGCTCCCAGTCACTGGGGCCAGGGCTGTAGACAGGAAGATGTTTGGATCTGTATAGCAACTGTGACATGGTTATACAAATTGTACCTGAAACTAACCATCTGGTTCTCAGAGCTGAGGGCAGCAAGCTCTAACTGGATCCAACTGGATCTGTGTTGATGTTTATGGTTCAGCAAGGACATAGATTTGACACAAATCATCATATTTACTACTTAACAAAGGACAACCAACAGCAGGCTCAATCAACAGTCAGTACTGAAGAAATAGTGCAATAGGTGTTATAACCAAGACTTTTCTTTCTAATGTTGCATATAATCTGTTAAGATGTCCACATAAATGTGTTGTAAAGTGAAAGCAATCTGTTTCCATATAGTGAGACTCATGCATGATTTGCCAAAAAACATATATTCTACTCTGATAAATGTATATTTATGATCAAAATTGTTATTGTACATTCATAGATATTTGTATGAATGAAAAGCCCCACAATATATAAACCATAAAAACCTCAAAAATACCTGAACACTTTTATTTTATTCTCATTATTTGATTTAATAATCTGCATATTGCTTCTCTTCTTTATTTATTGGGCCTAAAACAATTCATGTATATCAGACTTCATACTTAAACAAGTCTGATACTGAAACTTTAAATTTGATTGATTTGTTGGTCTTTACATTGATTTAACTGTATCTTTTCTAAATGTATCTTTAGCTTGTTTGAAATGAACCTAAAATTTGGAATTTAACATCCCATCAGTCAGTTATCTTTACCTATTCTGGGCATATTGTTTTCTACAAAGAAATATGTTTTTTTACTGACCCCTATTGGTCAAAGCATTGCAAAAACACTCAGCTCTATAGAGTACTGAAAAACATAATTGATTTTATTGCAAGACTTCCCCTGTCACATAAATATCGTCCACATGATTTGCACGGTTGGATTTAGAAAAGTACAATCGAAACAGTTTTATTTAAATTTAAGTTTTAAGCAGGATTGATTCACAAAACAGTTTGATGCCTGCTAAGACTAGATAACACTCAGACTTTATTGTACCAGTTTAATGCTTTTTTAAAGTGACCAGTTGCATGTTTGGATTTGATGAGTACATTTAGGAAAAGGGCTCAATTTTTACTTATTTTGAAAACTGTTCGCAACTCTTTACAGATATGATGCCTTTTTGACTATGCAACCAAAAACACGCCCGGACAATGTGAAGTGTGCAATTGCAACAAAATGTTTTAGGGGTAATAAGACCTTTGCTAATCTGTAATCCTTTGATTCCTTTATAAAAACAAAAGTAAAATAATGTTCAATGTAAACAGTGACCCTGATCCTTGCATATCTATATTATAAATTTAAATATGTATTAGATGTGAGTATTTTCAATATGAGACTGATACACCAACATTTAACAACATGCTTGCATCAATTCTTTCTTTATATTTGAAAGGCTAATAATTAGATATTTTGAAATCTTGCATACAATAAATAAGCTTATATCTGAATGTAAATAGATAAAAATCAACTAAATTACATCTCTTATTCAAGTGATGTCAAATGCATACAGAGGTGTCCTTTTTTTCTTAATAAATGCAGCAGCAGATGTTGAAAGTGTTTCTGTGCTGGGAGGAGACCCTGAATAATTATGTACAGCGTCAGGTGTTTCTGAAAAGGAACAGCTTCTCTTCTGATCAGATAAAAACAGATAACATAAAACCAACAGTGTTGTGCAGAGCAAAGGTTGGTATTAACCATTTACAAGGTAAAGTACCAGAGCTGGCACCAAGCTACTGTTTTGTAGGTCTCAGGTCTGTTCACTGGAGTCTCAAGTCAAGTCCCATCTTAAACTTATTAAAACAGCAGGACGAACAGACAAACATAAAATTAAGTAACAGAGTAACAGCATTTCATAAATCTCAATGAAATAGCTTCAAAGTTATTTATTAACCAAATGAGGCAGTACGTGTTCATGAACTTAAGAAGAAAAAAAATCATTTGGGGTGGGGTTTAACGTATCGAGGCAACACAAGGATGTTTATTGAACTGAAACACAGGTGCAGTACTCACCCATATAAAAGCTATACCTCAGTGGCGGAGCTAGATGGGGGGCCAGGGGTGGCCATGGCCACCCTTAGCCGATCATTGGCCAATATTCAAAACATTTGAATTTTTCATACATTAACAATTACTTGACAACAAAAACCTGCGATGGACTGGCGACCTGTCCGGGGTGTACCCTGCCTCTCGCCAGTAGACAGATGGAGATAGGCACCCCTCGCAACCCAGCTTGGGATAAGCTTGTTAGAAGATGGATGGATGGATGGATGGATGGATGGATGGATGGATGGATGGATGGATGGATGGATGGATGGATGGATGGAT